TTCTAGTGTGTCAGGAAGTGTGAGGATGGTACAGGATAGGAGAGGGATCAGATCTGCTTTTCATAGGGTTGCTATGAGTCATACTTGACTTGATGACACCTAGTAACAATTATTGCAGATTCTGAATAGCAATAGCAGATCAGAATAATCAGTTTTGGCACTCTGTATGATAGAAAACATAAATGAACCCACAATATACGTAACAACATAACTAAATCTTTTAAAAAAGCTATTGTTTGGGGATACCTATATAACAAAAACCTATTTTAAATGTGCCTAGATAAAATAAGTATAATTTTAAGATAATAATTATTTTAGAGGATCAAGGGATGTGAACAGAAGGGGGGAAATAAGGCTGCAAGTGATCTAAAGGGGTTTTTTTGTTTGTTTTTGTTTTGGTTTGGTTTTTTATTGTTATTTTGTGCGTGTACCATCAAATCGTATCTGACTGGTACAGGAGGAGATTGTCCCTTCTCCAGCAGATCATCTGGTGGATTCGAACCATGTTCCTCTGGGGTTGCAGTGCATCTTCTTGCCACTAGGCCACCAGAGCTCCCCAAATCTAAAGTCTTTTGCTTACTATCACACACTCAATTACGTTTGTATACATCATTGCAACAAATTATGCCAACATTCTCAAATGCTCCTGACTGGACAGTGCACAACAACAACATTTATAAGGGAGCTCTGATGGCCTAGCAGTAAGAACGTGTGCCACAATCCCGAAGGCAAGTGATTCCAATTGACCAGGAGCTACTCGGGAGAAGTATGGGCAATCTCCTCCCATGTGATCAATGCTTCTGAAAACACACAAAAGGCTCAGCTACGTGTGGGTTCTGACTTGGAGGCACACAACAATGACAACAGGGCAGCTGTGGTGGCCTAGCGGTAAGGATTTCCATTGCCAATCCTATGGCTTGTGGTTCGAACAGCTGTTCCACGGGAGAAAGATAGGCAGTATCCTCCTGTGCAAATATCCTGCCTCTGGAAACCTGCTGGAAGGTTAGTTATGAGTGGATTCCAACTCGGTGTTACACAGCAACAACAGTTTTACAAGTAAAGAAACTGAAAAACAGAGACTAAGTCAGCTTTCAAGATCTTAGCACCAAGGAGTTTCCACACCAAAGCCTGTCCTCTTAAAGCCTACCCTGGAAGACCCTGTAAATGTCTGTTAGGTTGTCATGTACCTTCTAGTCAGAACCGACTCACAGCTGACCCTCCAGCGGGTTTTCAGAGGCAAAATCTATTGGGAGGAAATTGCTCATCTTTCCCCCACAGAGTGGATAGTGGATTTGAACCGCCTGCTTTTGCGTTGGCAGTGCAACTCCTTGCCACTAGGACATCAGAGCTAAGAATATTAAATTGTTGATAACAGTGTTGCAACAACAACAAAAAAAGAAGTCTCCATCTTTTTGATAGACACTCCTTTGAAAGAGAAGCCAGCTTCTGGAGTGCTCACTCGAACCTCAAATATTACTGTTGGCTTCTAAGACAGCAAATCTCTTCCATCAAGCTGGAAAAGGAGGGGTAAATGGCAGCATTTAGCTTTTGTGACTGAACTGTGGGGGCCTTGGAACCCTTCCACCCACTTGAAAAACGGTCGCCCATCTGACGTTAATAGAAAAAGACCATTAAAAAGCTTTATGCTATTCTGTTCTCCTGGTTCTGGTCCCTCTCTGCCTTTGTTGCTGCTGGCATTTTATAAATTATGGATGCGCCTAGGTGCTGCTGTTCCCCCGTTTCCTCTGTAGTGCCGCTCCCTCCCAACGCCTGCATCGCTTCTTTCCTCTGAGCAAAGGACCACGCAGCCCAGACCCCACATCAGTGTAATTAGCGCACCACACACAGCTCGAGTGTCAGGACTACTTCCACTCACTGCCAGGCCTCTGCCAGCCCCTGTCATTCACGGGAAAGCCAGCCAGGCAGCGGCAAGGCCAGCAGCACAGACCTGGGCAGCTGGGCGGGGAGCTCAAGGTGGAAACCCAGCGTCCCCAGCTGCCAGCTTGGGTCTGAGGACAACTCCAGGGCTTGGCAGCTGCCTCAGACAATGTCTTGTTCAGAAACTCCGACAATGGGGAAGGGAAGGAAGTTATATCTGCCCCTTGACTGGCTACGGAGGAGGTTGGACAGATAGAAGATGGGCAGAGAAAGCCCTGTGAACCACGTGATCCCAGAGCTGGACTAGTTTGAGAAAAGCATCCAGTGTTTCCAGGAAGTAGGCTTCTACTTCTTAAAGTGGCTTGAAGTGTGGTAGTATATCGAGAGGAAGATTTGGGATGGTGTATTAAAGAATACTTTTCATTTTACTAGGCTCATATTTATTTTTTATTTTAGATCATGAAACCCATGACTTTATAGCCAATGTGTTTAAAATAGAGATGATTTTGGATTCAATTATGTTTTAACCCTTTTAAGACGGAATTATGTATGGGTTCTGCGTGTTGTTTCGTTTTTTATTTTCATTGAAACTATGTGCTTTCAGCAATGGAAGGCATTTTGAACGAAGTATTTTTAAAACTTTAAGGTAATCTTGATTTTTTTATAAAATTCCTACTTACTATTCTGAAGTAGATTCTAAATTGTGGCAACCATTTATTGAGTTTCTGAAGTTGTAAATCTTTGCAGGAGACTCATCTTTCTTCCATGGAGCAGCTGATGGATTTGAACCACAAATCTTTCAGTTCATCATCATTATCTGCCTGCCCTGGAGTAAGATCCTACTCAGAGCTGTCTCTCCAGCAGATTTTCAGAGGCTGTAAATCACACAGGAGGAGAATGCTAAGTTCCTCCCTCACAACAGTTTGGGGATTCCATCTGTGTGTTTTGAGTTGTCAGCGCAATTCCTTATCCCACCAAAGCTCAGTAATCTCTCAATTAGCAGCCGAAATTAGCAGGTCACGTAAGTCTTGATGAGTCTCTGGGGTTGGTGGGATGAGGCACATTTCTTCACATTAGATACATGTAATTTACAGACAGCCACCAGCTGACAGCATGAACTGAGGTTAAGGTAGCAGCTTCCCATAAAACAACATAGTTGGGCATGGAGTCTCATAAATGATGAAAGGGTTAAAGATGATTAAATTATGCACAGGTGGTATACAGCCATGACAAAGATTATAAAGGACACATAAATGACGGGGGAGAAATTCCAAAAGGGTCAAATGTTTACAGAGTCGTGGATCCTTATAAGAACTTGATGAGCACTGAGACTTCTTTCCTCCCCCCAAAAGATATGCATATACACAAGTTTGCATTGCAAATGACAAGGGTTTAACAGATCCCTTAAAGGCCATACTTTGACCATTATGAGCTCTAGGTTAAATAAGTTCTAGATTAAATGCTCTGAGCTATACAGTGAACTGTTCAAGGGTAGGAACCCTTGAATTTATCCCTATACTTCTAGCCACATTGGAGATTTCTCAAAAAATATTTTGTTCAAGAAACTAATGGCCTGGAGTTTAAATCTTCTACTGTTTTTTCACAATATAAACCTGGGGCTCAGGCTCAGAAAAGTCAATGAACTGGTCCAAGATCACAAAACTAAAGCAAAACCCCAGCGTCCTAGTTCCCAGCTACTTCATTAAGTGTTCCACTTCTGTGCTCTGTCTCTGAAGCCACCTTACCACTTCTACATCTAGGACCTACTCCCATATATCCAACTTAGAGATTCCAGAGTTGAAAAAGAAAAGTAGAAGACAAGAGATAAAGGTAGAGAAAGATCAAAGATGCCAGTGTGTCCTCCTTCCTGATGCTTACACCCCACTTACATCCCAAGCACCCATGGAAGGGCTGTATGTATGTATGTATGTATGTATTTATTTATTTTAGTGAAAGAAAGCAATCAGTGACCCCAGGGCCTCCTCTGTGCTATTTGTCAGTGATGGCATGGAAGGAAATTTGTACATATAGATTTCATTTCCTGGGTGTATTTTACCTAAACCCTTCCCGATAGTTATGAGATACACAAAGTTTACATAAGAGACCCATCTCTGGGATTAATATTTAATTAGACCATTTTTTAAAAAATGCATACTGTTAGCAGGGAAGCTGCTACAGTGCTTGTCTTTCCTCTGGGACACTGTTCAGACACAGAACTCTAAACCCCTCATGGCTCCCGTAGAAACTTCCATAGAAAGCCCTGGTGACTCCAGGCTGGGCACAGACTTGGTGCACATTTCAGAAGATCTCAATGATGCAAAAACCTTAAAGAGGTCTTAGATTCCCTGCAAGGGTCTGGCTGACTACCTCCAGGGTTAGGCACCTCACTATTTCATGGGCTGCTTATTTAATTTTGGCCCACTCTCAGTGCTGAGTCCTTCTGTTAATTAGCACAAGCCATTAGCTTCTATTGGTCTTTATTCAACAGTTTGTGGCCACAGAGACCATGAACAAATTCTACCATAGAAAGATATCACTTTGACGTAAGTTTCTAGCTATTATTTGAGATATATATATATAACGTTTTTGTTTTCTTAATGTTGGAATGTATTTCATGTTAAAGGCTGTAGTTTGATTTTCTTAAGTGCTACTTCTTACCTCTCTGAACTGAGGGTTTTTTCTGTTTTGTCTTTTTTTTTTGTTTGTTTTTGTTGTTTGCTTTGTTTTCTTGAGGGCAAAGATTAATTTATTTCTCAACTCTTAGCCTCTCCCTCTCAAAAGGTAGAACCCACTAGGCAAAACTTGAGGATCTTTACTCTGTATTTCCAGTATACACACCTAGCATAGATGAGACACTATAGGCACCTCCAATATGTGCCCTTTCTCCCCCGAGACAGGAGAGGTGAGCATGGGTGGGTGGTCTTGGGCTGGGTAGGTCAAGTCAGGGCACATACAGGCACAAGTTTAAAGTTCATTTTTTGAAGTATTGGACTGCAAAACCACAACTGCTTGTTATTAAAAAACAAAACACCAAACTCTTGAGGGTCTGGTGCTTCTTCAGGGAGTAGAGAGGCCAAAGTACTCCAGTCACTGGCCAGGGTCAGGATCAGTCCTCACAGAGGTCAGAACTCAAGGTTCATGTATGTCCTGAGATCTCGCTCCCAAGCCCCGCTCTTCTCTTCTTGCCTTCTCTCTTCTCTTTGGGTCAGGGTGGTCAACCGAGGGGTTCGCTTCTTCCCAGCCACAGCCCGGGTATCCAAAGCCTGGAAGTGTGTGATTCGGGGCTGGGGAGCTGATCTAGAACCAAGTCCCTCCTGGTCCCTCTTAAGGATGGTGGGGATAGGGTTTGCACGACCTTCACCTCGAGGTCCTAGCCTCATTCCTGGCTCCCAGCCCCCTCTCAGCAACAACTTGAAGCCTGGGCTGGATGAAGGCACCCCAGGAGGTAGGCTGGGGGCCCATGGAGCCTGGGACAGCGAAAGCAGATGAGCAGTGGATGTGTGATAGTTGGCATCTTGAAAGTGGGTATCACAGGTCTCACAATACTGTGGTGTGCGAGAGTGGGGCCATTAAGACTGAAAACAAACTGGTCTTTTTTTAAGGTTCTGTCTGGACATTTCTCCGGAAGTAGATCTGTGAAAGAGGCTCCGCCTAGGCGTCTTTGCAGCTTCCGTACGGCAAAATGGCGCTGCTCTTATCGAATTGAGGGTTTGTTTTTTTAAAAAAAAACACTCCTGCCTAAAGTTTCTTTATTCTAGGCTAAACGTTTCTCAGTTCCTTGATGCCAAATGCCCAGAGTTCTGCTTCCACTTCTTCATGACTTGTGACATTAGTAATTCTCTTGCACCCTCATCTCAGATGATCTGTAACTCATTTCAAGAAAGATCTCAACGCAGACCACCACTGCTGCCTGGCGGATTCAGAGGGTGATGTTTTGCTGCTAGCCACCATCTTTTTGGCCTCTGACCTACAGTGACATTATGTCTGCTGGTGTAATTAGCTTCAGGTAAGACGAATGTGAATCCTGACGTTTTCATGGGCTGATTATCAGAAGTAAGTAGATCACCATGCTTTTCTTCTTCATTATCTGCCTCTTACTCCCCTCAGTCAGTTTAGAGATTAAGGTCTGAGAGTGAACTAGAGGATAAAGATCCAGTTCTCCATCTTTCAGTAAGAAAATTCAGCTAACACACACTTTACATGAAATCCTTAAAGAGTCCCCGGGGAGGCTGAACTCAATTGCCACAGTGCTAACTATTCTAGAAATCATCACGTACTTGTTAGCCTTGTTTTATTCAGTGTCTTGCTTTTCCTGGCTTCCTAGTGTCATCCAAAGAAAATATCTGCACCAAATCCATGTCTCACATTTTGCTTTCAAGGAAATCTAAACTAAGACTGGGAAGAAGCAGAAGACAACAAAGAAACAAACGATGAATCACTTTTGATTTGATTTCAAGACATCTTTTTAAAAGATGTTATTTAAAAAAACAAAACCAAACCATTTTGAAGAAGGTAATATATAAAACAGAGAAAAATTGGAAATTAGATAAATGTAGGATGGAAATCTAACCATGATTCTTTCACCTTGACAAAATTACCAGTCAGCATTTTTAGATAATGTATTTCTTTTCAATATTTTCTCAAAGTATATTTTAATATCAAGGTGAAGTACAGTGCATTATTAAAATACCCTTTGAGCCAGTATTTAGGTAACCCCCAATAAATGACTAAGTCCTCAAACTTCATTGCTATTAAGTTAGAACCAACTCATACTTGATTCTCCATTGGGTAAACTGTATAGGAGCTTTCTCATCTTTCTCCCATAGAGATGCTAGTGGACTTGAACCAACTTCAGGGAGGCATGGCCTTTAGGTTATTGCTGCAGTTCTCTATACCTTAGGTCACCAATGTTCCCTAGGTATGAGTAAGTTGTTGTTGTTGTTATATGACACCAAATCAAATACTACTCACAACGACCATATGAATAGTTCTGAATCCTGCCCTATAACTAGGTAGTTGTAGTACTGACCCATCGCTGATCCTCTTGTGTTTTTTTCAGAGGTAGTTATCACACAGGAAGAGATCCCCTTTCCTTCTCCCACAGAGCAGCTGGTGACCTTGAACCACATGCCTTTGGGATTGCAACACAGCTTCTTGCCACTAGGCCACCAGAGTTCCCTTATGACTAGGTTGTTGTTTTTGTGTACCATAGAATCAGAATCAACCTTTAGCTGACCCTCTGGCAGGTTTTCAGAGGCAGTTAATCACATGGGAGAAGATCGCACATCTTTCTACTGTGGAACAGCTGGTGGCCTCGAACTGCATGCCTTCATGATTGCAGTACAGCTTCTTGCCACAAGGCCACCAAAGCAAATGTAAGATGCTTGCTCTAAGGATCTTACCAAGGGGATTAGGTTGTGTTGCTGTTGTTGTTAGGTGCCGTCAAGTTGAGAACGATTCAATGACCCTATGAACAGCAGATCTGAATCCTGTCCTATCCTGTGCCATCCTCACAGTCTCTGACACACTCAAGTGCATTGCTGCAGTTGCTGTGTCAATCAACTCTTTGAGGGTCTTCTCTCTCTGTCCCTCCACCTTTCCAAGCATGATGTATCTCTCCAAAGAATAGCCTCTACTAGCAATATATCCAAAGTATATGAGATGAAGTTTTATCATCATTCCCTCCAACAATCACTTGAGCCGCACCTTCTCCAATACATATGTTTGTTCTTTGGCAGTCCATAGGATATTCAGTACTCTTTTCCAACACCACACTTCAAGGGCATCAATTCTTCTTCTGTCATCTCAGATGCATAACATGTGATTCAAGAGACCATAGACTGAATCAGGCACACCTTAGTCCTCAAACTGACATCACTGCTTCCCAATAATCTGGAAAGGTCCCTGACTACAGACTTTCCCAGTGCAATACATCTTCTAATCTCCTGACTGCTGTTACCAAGTGTATTAATTGTGGATCCAAGTTGGAGGAGTGTGTTGACCATTTCAATCTTTTCTCTATCATGATGTTGTCTATCATTCCAGTGGTGAGAATTTATGTCTTATTGACATTGAAATGCAAGCTATACTGAAGACCATATTCTTTGATCTTCTGCAGCGAGTGTTTCAAGTCCTCTTCATTTTCAGCATGCAAAATTATGTCACCTGTGTGTTGTTGTTGTTGTTGTTATGTGCCATCGAGTTGCTTGCGACTCATAGCGACCCTATGTACAAGAGCTCTAAATGCTGTTCTATCCTGTGCCAGCCTAGCCATCTCAAACGCACTTATTCCCACCACTCCAGTCACAGAATCGATCCATCTCACCAAAGGTCTTCCTCTCCTTTGCCTCCCCTCCACTCTGCCAAACATGATGTCCCTCTCCAAGGACCAGTCCCTCTTTGCAACATGCTCAATATGTCAGACGAAGCTTCAGAATCCTTGACTCCAGGGAACACTCTGGCTTCACCCTCTTCAGGACAAACCTGTTTGTTCTCCTAGCAGTCCATGGTATATTTAACACTCTTCTCCAGCTCCACAGCTCAAAGGCATCAATCTTCTTTCTATCAACCCTATTCACTGTCCAACTCTCTCATGCATAGCACATAATTGCGAAGAATATATAGCCCAGATCAGGCGCACCTTAGTCTCCAGCCTGACATTGTTGCTCTTCAGTACTCTTGAGAGGTCCCTCACAGCCGACTTTCCCAATGCATTTCATCTCCTGATTTCCTGGCTGCTGTTACCACGAGTGTTGACTGTGGAGCCAAGTAAATTAAAACTGTTAACTATCTCAATCTCTTCACCATCCATACTGATGCTGACAATTGGCCCAGTGGTTAGAATCTTTGTTTTCTTGACGTTTAGCTTCAGTCCATATAGGAGGCTGTAGTCCTTGATCTTCTGCAGCAAGCGCCTCAGGTCCTCCTCAGTTTCAGCAAGCAGGGTTGTGTCATCTGCATAATGCAGTTTGTTGATGATTCTTCCACCAATCCTGATGCCACATTTCTCTTCATATAGCCCAACGTCTCAGATGATCTGTTCTGCATACAGATTGAAAAGGTATGGAGACATAATACATTCCTGTTGAACCCCCTTCTTGATTTTGAACCATGTACTGAAGGTCATTCATGAGTCTTCCTCTAGTCCTGCTGCAGCATTCTTCTTCAGAGAGTGCATATTCTCAAATAATTTGTTCAGCATACAAATTGAATAGGTACAGAGAAGGGATACAACCTTGACACACACCTTTCTTTTAAACTATGCAGTGTTCCCTTGCTCTGTTCACACAATAGCTTCTTGACCAAGGTCCAGGTTTCACATGAGCACAATTAAATGTTCTAGGATTCCTAGTCTTCTCAATGTTAGTTTCATGGTATTCTTGGAGGGTGATATCATGCAAATAAAGGGTAAGAAATGCTAATATGAGGATAATACCATCCAGCTGGGCTTAAAATGGGCCATATGAAAAAGAGGATTGCAAAAAAAGAAAAAGAGGATTGCACTACCATCAAGAAAGAAGTGGGAACAGAGCAGGTCTTTGGACCCAAGATCTCTCCCTAGAGAATGTTCTTTATCCAGGAAATAAAAAGCTGTAACACTTAATATAAGCAGCAGCAGCAGAACCAGAAAGCCAGGTCAAGACACAGAAGTGGACATTAAAATCCACTGAAAGAGAAAGCAGAGAGTCTTCAGGCAGAAGGCTTTCTGGGCCAATGAGATGTTTCTAAACACTTGTCTGTGGGGCTAAGTAGGTTTTCCAAACATGAATCTAAAGCTGAGTGCCTGTAGGCAGGACATACTTACACTGATAGAGTTAAAAGATCTTTGTAATACTTGTCTGAGTAAGCAGAGGTTAAGACAAGGGACCAAAGAGAGACAAAACTGCAGGTGTCACTTGTCTGAGTAGGAACCAGAGAACTGTATTGTGAGTATTTCCTGATCCTGAATTGTAATCTGTTACTTACCTAATAAAATTCATAATGGTGAGTCTTGTCTGTGGAATCTGTATGGCCATTGCAACTCTGGTGGCTTAGTGGTAAGAATCTACATTGCAATCCCAAAGGCATGCAGTTCTATACTTGATCTTAGCCAAAAGGCCGAAGCGATTAGGCATCTAATCCACCAGCTGCTGAAGGATGGGCAGTCTCCCGTGTGATTTACTGCTTCTGAAAACCTGCTGAAGGGTCAGCTATGGGTCAGTTCCAACTCGACAGCACATAACAACAACAATTGAGAAGTAAAGAGAGCTGCAATAGCATAGTTCATAAGCAGTTGTCCTGCTAAACCAAAGGCCACAATCGTTTGGGGATTCAATTTCGCCAGCGTCTCCTTGGAGAAAGACAGGCAACCTCCTCCTGTATGATTTACATACAGCCTTGGAAACCCAATGGTGGGGCAGCTATGAGTCAGTTCTGACTCAACAGCAATGAGTTGTTGCATGAAATAGAGGAGGAGAGAATGCCATGGCATGGACAGTTAGTGTCAGATTTGGTAAAAAAGTTGGAGAGTGGAGTCACATCTGACCTCTTCCTTTTAGAAATCAGCCTTGGGCTGTGTATG